CCCCAAAACCCCAAAACCCCAAAACCCCTAATTTATTATAAAAATGGAAATTAAGAAGAACAATAATGATAACCTCTCCAAGTTTTCAAGACCTCGTTTGATGCCTGGAACCTTGCAGATTTCTAAACGAAGACTTAAGAGTATTTTCTCCTCATAAAATATAGCCCTTAAAAGGGACAAATTATTCTACATGACCAGGTACTTTCTACAACTGCTCCAAATTAAAACTTGTGATTTGTTGGTTATTAAGAAAATCATGGATTATTCTCCAAGAATAAGTCTAGAGACTCATGAAAATCTACAGGAATTTTACAATGAGTAGAGTCGTTATGGCAATGCCTAAATACCTACTTCAATAGATGGGAGGTATTGATATCCCACATGAAAATATCTTCTATGCTATCTTCCTGACCATAGAAGCCTCTCAGCTCTGTTTCTTTCTTAATTTCATATATAGATCAAAATGGAAGTGCTCAGTAGTTAAGCCAAAGAAGAAGATTAGTCTGGCAAAGAATAGTCCAAAATTTAAACTTTGAGGTGTCGTTAAGAAGTAAGTCTTTCTACAAGTTATTCCTTTCTGCATACATGTTTTTTGTCAGGCTATCAACTATTGAAGTTCCCCTAAAATTTGTGTTGGAGCATCAAGCATGTTTTGAGCCTGTTAAATTAAATCCCTGAAAGTGATCAGATAGCAGGGGGAAGTATCTTACGCTTAATTATAAGATATTAGTAGAATTTCATAGTTATAGCCACATTAGAAAGTCAAAAAGTCTATTTTATATTTGTTTTAAGGAATAGCTTACATTTTAATCATAAATTTATGCAAATAATTTGCAACAAAGAGATAAATATGAAGTACAGAAAGGCTATTTAATGCAATTTGCTTGACATATCTAATGATTTAGATCATGATAAAGATAGAGAAAGCCTGAATTAGTTCTGCTATCCTTACTTTTACATTAATTTTGAAAATAAGATTGAATACATTAATTAATCGGAATGCAAACATAAATTGCCATTTTGTAATTGAGGCTAATTTCTATCTCATTTTCTTCAAGGAAAAGTGTGCCATGTAGGCTTTAATTGAGATTCTGTCGCAACTTCACTGCTTAGCTATATTCCCTTTACCCCAAACTATCACACCTAAATAACATGACTAAATTACCTGATACAATGCAAACTGTATAGATCTAAGAAAAAGGTGAAAACTTTAAAAAATATAAAGAACCGCTCGCGTACAATCCCACTGATGAAATTCTCAACGCAAGATAGGTACGAGTCTCTATAACCTTCAGCACTGACAAAATAAACAGGAAGATATTTGAGTTTTGGGAGATTCTCAAAACATGCAAAAATGCTCCGTACTTTTAAACATTGATTTTATAGCTCGATACCTGTCTATAACACTGAGTTCTGTAAGACAGTCGATTATGGAACTAGCAGCTTCAAAAGACCACTGACAGCAGGATCAAATTCCAGCATCGATTCTTCAGAGATCAGGAAACACACTTGAAAAATCGTTAAAGATCAGGATGTGCTCGCTAAGAAATTTGGGCTCCAAGAAGACGCTGATTTGTTTGATCTCAGAGGAAGACCCAAAATTCTTGATTTCATTGGGAAAGATTACAGACCAAGAGCTCCAAGAAATCTTTCTTCTAAGAAGAGTAATATAGAGGTTAAGATAAAGTTCCTTGTCGCCAAACGCAAAGGAAGATTTTGCTAAGATTTCAATATTAAGATTATATTTAGGGGTTTTGGGGTTTTGGGGTTTTGGGGTTTTGGGGTTTTGGGG